TGTTCGTCTTGGTGGTTCAAAGAGCTGCTTTGGAATGTCAGGTGATGCTTTACTGTCAGCAGAAGTTACAGACCTGCTGGTGAATCGGTTATTGCCTCAGAAAGGAAGTGCTGTGCAGTCTGGTTGATCTAGAATAACATGAGTAAGCTCTCCGTGTGAATCAGAAGGTATTTACATGATTAAAAGCTGTTTGCATTTACATTACAAATACAATCTTGCATAAAATGGTTGCCTTCCTAGGTTTCTCCAGGCCTTGGGCAGATCTGCAGCTTGCGACACGAGGATAACATTTCTGCTGCATAGGGAAGGGAGGAGCTCGGAACGTTTAATATCAGAGTCAAATGCTGAAAGCTCATGGGAAGAACACATCTGCAATTTATTAATAACCAGAACCTGGTCTGGCCACCTTACCAGTTGTATTTATGGCTCAGTGGGGATCACTGCTTGATCTCTCTTGTTTTTCTTGAGCCTTTTTAGGTATTCTGAGTAATGATGCATGTTCATGCACGTTAAATCTATCTGCTTACTGAACCAGGGAAAATCAAGGCTAATGAGAAGTGGCCGAAAAATTGTCGGGCGAGCCAGAACCTCGTTTCTCCTAGAATGCTTGACTTTGTTGTGAACGAGGCAATAACCAGAGAACTCTTCCTGTAGGACATAGCCGATGCTAGAGTGGCCTGTGAGCAGTCTGCAACAAACCATTTCACAACTGGATTTCTGCTCATTTCATATTTTTATTTTATTTTTTTTTTTAAGCGGAAAACATGGAGGAATGTATCGTCCTGTCGTCCTATGTCTTGCACAATTCCTTGGCCTACGGGGCTGACTGGTCAAGGCTGTGTCCCAGGGATTCCTTGGCTGCAACACAGGACTCTGCCGCTGCGTGCCAGTCTGCGGAGGAGCTCGTGGGAAGATCAGAGGAAGGAGACGAGAGACTGAATTTGCAGGTCCAAAACCTGAAGATCATTTATGAGTCTCCTACAGCTACTTTTGATGTAGTATTGGATGAGGAGAGTGAAGGCCCTGCCTTGCCGCTCCGAGCAGAAGGGGGTCCTAAGCTGTCTGGGGACCCTGCCCCGGTTAGGGGCTCTGAGGTAAAGGGGAGTTCAGATGTGGCTGGGGGCCCTGACGGAGGGGGAGATCCCGAGTCAGCCCGCAGTTCTGAGTCGGGAGCGAAGAGACCCGGCGGAATGGGCCTGGCCAGAAGCGGTGATTCAGCCAGGTCTCTAGACAGTCCGAAAGAAATGAGCATTGTAGCGACGTGTTCTTTCTACGACAATATCCTCCATGTCTGGAAGTGGGAGATGAGCCTGGTGACCCCTTCGGAGGCGCCGAGTACCAGATCTCCGTCTGAAAGAACAGCTGAAGGTTTGCATTGACCCGTCCCAAGGGAGAGCGGTGGGAAAACTCCTGTACTGAGCGCGACAGCTGAGCTTATGCCCTGTCCAATTTCTGTTGGGCTTTCCCAGTTTTATTGTTGAGCTTGTGTCTTTTAAGGCCGATACCGACGGAATTACTGGCACTTTATTTTCAGCACTGAGGAAAGCCTTTGCTTTGAGGTGTGTGGTCAAGCACAGACATGTTTATTTAGTTTTCCCTTAATGTACTAGTTCAAAGTAGGACAGCCTTCCTCACAAAGGCTGCTTGTTTGTACCTTATATTTGAATCCCTTCAAGGCTGGTTTGCATTGGTGCGATTGATCTGTGAAGCCCATTCTCCTCCTTCCATCACAAACCGAACTTGTCTGCGCCGCTGCGTGTAGACAAACACGCAGCGTGTGGTCGGGGTTTCCCTGAATGTCTC